CGGTAATTTTCGCAATTTAAGTTTGTCCCCTTTTTTGTAGATTGGGCAGATAATCCCATTTTTCCAATCGCTAGGAATTTTTTCTTCCCTCCATACCTTAGATATGAGCGCGTGCACCTGCGTTGTTAGATGTTTGCCACCTAATTTATACAGTTCGGAAGGGACATCGTCAAATCCCAGCGCTTTGTTGTTTCTTTGCGCCTGTATTGCTTGTTTGACTTCTTTAAGAGTCGGGCTGCTTATTTCTTCGTCTCCTTCCTCGATGTGCCGCGCATCCGAAGATCGTGAGCTTCCTTGTGCTCCTAGCAGAGCTTGGAAATGGCTTTTCCAAACTGATTTTATTTGCGTTGGTTCACTAATTATCTTATCTGTTTGGTTTCTGCACAGACTTGTTCGGGGTTTGTATCCTTCTCTTAGTTGTCGAAGATATTTATATGCCTCCCTTAGATCGTTGCTTTGGAGGTTTTGTTCCATTTTCTGTATCTTATTATTTTCCCATTTTCTTTTTTCTCCTCGACATATTTTATCCGCCCTGCGTCGTAGCTCCTCGAAAAATGTTCTTCTTTCTCTGGTTCGCCTTTCCATATATTTCTTGTGAGCTTCATTTCGTTCGTGTATGGCCCGTCTACACTCTTCGTTGAACCATTTTGCCCTTTACTTCTTTACCTTTTTACCGATGGTCTTTGTTGCTGCATTTAATACTTGTGTCTTCATTTGTTTCCAATGTTCTTCAATGTCTAGGTTATCTGTGTTTGTAAGTGTCTGGGTTATTTCTGTCTCGTAGCTCAGTTTAACGTTTTGTTGGCTTAGTTTATCAATGTCCAACTGCTCTTTTCTCTGTTCTTTCTTATCTCTGTTTCTTGAGATCCTGCATCTATATTTTGCTTGTACCAGCAAGTGATCAGATCCACAGCATGCTCCTCTTCGACTTTTTACATCTAGGATGTTGGTGGCAGCTCTTTTGTCCATTAAGACATGGTCAATTTGGTTAGTAACCGCTCCACCTGGCATAATCCACGTTACTTTGTGTACATCCCGATGAGCAAGGAATGTAGAGCTCACGATCATGTTTTTCCTGCTGACAAAATTAATTAGGAATTCCCCGTTCTCGTTGGTGTTTTGATGGAGTGAGTGTTTGCCGATTATTCCTGCGAACTGTTCTTCTTTGCCTATTTGGGCGTTCATGTCACCCAATATTATCTTGATGTCATTTTTGGGGCATTGTCGTATATTTCTTCTAATTGATCGTAGAACTCCTCTTTTATAGTTATGTCGTGTTCTTCTGTTGGACTATGGGCATTAATGATTGTGAGGTTAAAAAATTTTGTTTTTAGCCTCAATCTACATAATCTCTCATTTATTGCTTCGAAATCTAAGATATTGTTTTTGATGTTCTTATCTACTACGAAAGCCACTCCAAATTCTTTCTTTTCATTTTCTTTGCCGCTATAGAGTATTGTGTGCGTTTTTGTGTCTTTTATTCCATTGCCTAGCCATTTTGTTTCTTGTATTGCGGCTAATTGTATCTTATATTTTTTAGGTTCGTTAAGCAGCGATGTTTGGGCTCCTGGTTTATTTAGGGTTAAGACGTTCCATGTTCCAAATGAGTAGTCCATATTTCTTTGCTTGAGTCGTCGTCGATAAGACCGTCCTATCCGAAGCTTTTGTATAGGTTTCGTAGTCGGGGTTTGTTCTACAGTAATGGGTGACTAGCCCATTGCCCAACCTTCCTCCTTTATCCGGACTTAGGACCGGCTGTGACACTGTGATTTCCCACGGTATCCCAGGCGGAGTTATGAACAAAACTCACAAAAAGTAAAAAAAAAATAACAATAACAATTTAAATTTACTAAAATTACAAAAATGGTCAATGTCATATAATAAAAGATAGTAAAATTTACAATTTATTGCAAAATCTAACTAAATTGCAAATTGCATAATAAAACCTTAGGAAGTAGTTTACGAATAAGTTTTAGTTGCTGCATTTGATACCCAAATATATAATACTTTAGTTGCTTGTACCTAAACGTACTGTAATTTCTTAATTTCTCGTTAAGAAACTCTTCCACTGAATAATATGGTCTTTCAGATAGATAGGCTTTTGTTAATTTACAGAACTTAAGGAAAGAAGTTGTAGATTTAAGTTGCAAAGGGGATTAATTGTATAATTTTTTTGCCGAATATAATATACATTTATTTACTAACTCAGTGGACGAAATCGATAAATACATATCAAAGGTTGAATTTCTGGTGGACAATTCATGATTGGGTCTTGCTGAAAATACATGTAGGTGTTTACCAATTAAGAAAACAGTTTCTAGAATATATAAAGAGGGAAGAGTTAAAATCCCGTGATTTTTTATGTAGCTTCTAAAATGTATTATTTTACTGAGGCCAAAAAGATACCGTGTTGCTCTTTTTTGTAATTTAAAAATAACATTATATTGGGTAGCTGTACTAGAACCACAAAAAGGAAGGCCATATCGAAGATGAGACTCGAACAAAGAAAAATATGTTATTTTGGAAGATGCTAAATTCAGCTTCGAAACAGATCGTATTGCATAGCTGGCTGAGATTAGTTTTCTTACTTAACAAATCGATATAAAGGAACCGTTTAAGGTTGCTGTCTGTAAAAATACCATGATATTTTAAAGAAACAGCGATACTGATCTGGCTGTTATTAAGAAGCAAGGGTTGAAGAGCTCCTTTATAGGATAATGCTACTTATTCATGTTAAAAGGAAGTAAATTATAGTCAGACGAGGTTTGTATTTTAAGTTGATCAGAAGTATTAATTGAATGCAAATTTAAATATAAGAAAAAGTAGAGGACCCAGTACTCAATATTGCGGTACTCTACATACATGCTTTTGTGTCTAGAGTTAGTATTATTTGCTCTAACTGCTTGTTTCCTATTTCTCAAGCAAGATTGGAACCAATTCAAAGAAATACCTCGAATTCCGTAGAAATTTAGTTTTTTTATCAAAATGTCGTGAAATACACAATCAAAAGATTTTGCATAGTCTCAAAAAAACAGTGGCAGCGTAAAGATTATTGTTTAGTGCTTAATAGACCTCCTGTAGTACAGAAAACATAGCATCACTGGTGCATTTATAAGATAAAAAGCTGAACTGACTTCGTGATAAAATGTTCATTTCAACAAGAAATGACATAAGTCGGGCTCTTATAAATCTTTAATCATTTTAGATAGGATGTAATTTTTGTTTTCATTCTTCTTACATATTGCTGTAAATACTTTATTTTACTTTTTGACTCTTAACAGTATTTTTTAACACTCTAAAATATTTTTTGATCCTTTCAGGTGTTGAAAAATCGCTGCTAGACATGTCTTCAATGGTTTTATTTCTAAAACATATAATTAGGTTTTCATAGTTATAATACTTGTTTTTATAAATTAAACTAAGAACTCACTTTTTTTAAATATTACGTGGAAAATATGAAAAAGTATTATCACCAAGTAACAACTCTACAATTTCAGTTTCTGATGCTGTAATGGTGCTCGAAGGTGCATTTTCTATATCTATACTTTCCTTGTTTTCTTCATTGTCATTTAAACATCTAGAATAATCAATTTATGTACATTAAAGAAAAATATTAAAATTGGTTTAAGATTGAAATAATCTTCTCACCTCCTTTTTAGGAGAACTAGATTTTACATTAAGGCCCAAGTCTGTCTCCATATTACATTTTTCAGTATCAATGAAACTCCTAAAATACTGTGAGTAATTTTAATATTAAAATGAAATAAGTAATTAAAATCCACATTTAGATTTATTTGTAAATTTAATTATTAAATTCGATCCAAACTCACCTTTTTGACGGTCCATAAAAACCATCCATATCAATACTACTGGAAGTTGTTTCTTTATTTTCCATATCGTTTGTAGAACTGAAACATTGAATTAATATGCTATGCGTTTGCATTATATTTATTATACTCTGTATAGTAAATTACATAGAAATTCGTTATAGTTACCTTAGTTCTGATGATTTATGATAAATATTTATTGGAACAGTTCCTTTCCTCATATTAACCCGTCCACTTGGTTGTATAATTAGATCATGCTTTCTAAAGTGTTCTGAGCAGGCCATAGCAGTTTTGGTTACTTGTTCTTTATTTAAGCCGAACATAGACAACCACATATCTAGCAGCTGTTGATTCTTTACTGGGAACCTGCATATGATATTTCTTTGAAATTAATATATTTATAGCAATTATAGTGTAGATTAGAAAAAATAAATAGGTAAATGTATTTATAATACGACAAGATTTACTTTACTTCACAAAATTTAATTTCAATTCATGTCAAGAATTAAGTAATATCACATCTCTGTACTACGCTCATGGACGTAATTCCAATGTTTACTTACGAACGAAATGACAGTTCTGGATGAAAATACTAACAAATTCTCTAAAATGTCACAAAAAAGGAAATTATCAACTCAAAGGTAAACAGTACAACGCAATATTCCTTTTCGTCAAATCACTACGATTGGTTAATATTACTAATAATGCCAAGTTTTACATAAAGTTAACATTATTAGAATATATTTTCTTTCAATAAATTAAAAAATTAATGTTTTTCTTTTAATTCCTTGGTTGCAAAATGATTATATCTAAAAATAGCTAATCCTAACTAAATAATACATTTTTATCTATAAATTAAAATTAAATTATACTAAAAATCGAAAATTATTTCGAAGATTCGCTTGGAAAAAAAATAATATGACAACGTCAATTGTGTCTATGACTGTGATGATCTCATGGCTTCATGTACAGATGTAAATAGCCCGGTACTTCTTTATTTGTACGTCCATGGTTTCACTATACCACTATAGTAGAAATGCTACATCCTTTTTTTTAATTAAAGCGCAAATATATATTCTGCTAATGCATATATTATTGCTTAATATATTTTAATAGTTAAGCTAAATTTATGTCTAATATTTAATAACATATAAAACAGATTTTCTTTTCCAGCCTAAAAATGTTACCACAATTATATAAAATGGCAAACTACACTCAATGTGCTGAAGATACTAGCAACTATTATTGTTCAGCACAAGCTAAACTAATTGTGCCATCTACAAATTTGGATACGATAAACCTTTTAAAGGTAAGTAATATTTTATGCAATTAAAAAATAATAATATAGGTAGTGTTGCACTTAATTTACGGTACTGAAACGATAGGTCTACTTTTGATTTAACCTTTGAAACTGTGATGGAACTATTTGGTAAAACAAACTCGTAAATAATATTATCTTTGAGAAACAGTTTGGTGAGTTAAGGTACTAATTTCGCTCTTACAACTCTCAACTTTCAAAATTTGAAACATATTTCCGATTTATATTGTTGAAACCGAGCGTTTGATAATGAAAGGTTTTAGTGGATTTCTTAGGTTGTTTTTAAATTAATACAATGAGCGTTTGATAATGAAAGGTGTTAGTGGATTTGTTAGGTTGTTTTTAAATTAATGTAATCAACGGTTATAGCTTTAATTATATCAACATAAATTATTATTCCCTGATTGGATTTGTTGTTTGTTATCATATTATACGTATTATAAACTAGGTACTTAAACATTTAACGAAAGTGCATTATTATTTTAGATTTATAGCTTGTTGTGTTAATTAGTACTTTAAGTATTATATGCACCAATAAAGTATATTTTAAAATTATATAAAGGGTCTTTCATAAATAGGTAACACCGTCTCAAGGATATTTAAAAACTGAACACTAATTGAGGTCCGCTTTGTAAAAATTTTTGTAACGCCATCTGTTTTTAAGATATAGGGCGTCGAAAAAAAATTACACATTAGGTTTGTTTCTGCAGTAGTTGGAAACGGTTTTACAACGCTCGAGTTGGCGCAGTAAAATAATTGTGTTGTGCAGGTTTAATTTCAAACTGTTTGGTCAGATGTTCTTGCAGATTTGTCGACCGGTTTCAAATCGTTTTCAAATAGTCATTCTGGTTTGAAGATTATTTTCCAACTAATAGTTTGACGCAGGCGTACTAAGTATAAATAAATAACGTTTTTTATTCTTAACCTGTAAATATAAAATATATTGTAAATATTTTTCACTGTTATATTGAACTGATTATTTATTGGTTATTTTTCAATTACAACGTTTGGTGTATTTACATTGATCATTCTTTATTGAATAAATTTTTGGACTAAATATCCAACATGGTAATTATACGTGATATAACTATGATTAAATAACTTATGAAGTAAAAAATATATATTTCAGGGAATCTTCTGAATTGAAGAATTGTCGTCGGATGAACATTTGTTACGCATTTTAGATGAACGTATAAGGCCTAAAAATAAGAATTATATTGAAGAAACGGTGTCAAGTTACAACGATTGTGAATTTATTCAACACTTTCGTGTTGGTCGTGCGGTTGCTGAATATATTGCGAACCACTTCAGAAATTCACAATATTTTCATTATCAAGCGGGAGGCAATGGAAAGCTTGGAGAATATGAACAAACATTAATATATTTATGGTTCGTTGGTCACCAGACTGCATCATTCAGAGATGTAACTGATAGATTCGATATTGCTATCAGCACTCTTTTTAAATTAATTAGAAACTTAACATATTTTCTGAGCAATACGGCCCTCAAGTAATTAAATGGCCATCAGGTGAGGAAAAAATGAAAATTGAGAGAAACTTTAGGCAAAACAATTTTCCAGGTGTTATTGGAGTAATTGATGGGAGTCACATTAAAATAGACAAACCAACAAATGATCCAGACTCATACTTAAATAGAAAACATTATTATTCTATTCAGGTAATCACATACTAATACATATCTTATAAACTTAAAAACTGATTAGAATTTTTATATATATTTTTAGTTGCAAGTCATTTGTGACCACTAAAGAAGAATAAGGGACTTATTTGTCGTTATCCAGGATCAGTACATGACAGAAGAGTTTTCAGAACTTCACCATTAGCTGAGAGTATAGTTGTAAAGTGTGCAGATTATTTTATTTTAGGTGATAGTGGTTATCCATGTTTACCCAATCTCCTAACTCCTTTTAAAGATAGAGGTAATCTAACAAGAAGACAGTTAAATTACAACATGAAATTAAGAAAAATAGATATGTAGTTGAACACTGTTTTGGTCTACTTAAGCAGAAATTCCGTCAGTTGTATCATGTAAAATTAAGAGCTGTACCAGATATAATACATTTTATAAGAGCATGTTATGTTCTTCATAATATGACAATCGAAGACCAATTTGAATATGAGGCAGAAAATATTGATGAAAATATTTTACCATTTAATTTGGACATTGATGAGAATCATGCAGACAGAAATGGAATGGAAAGAAGAAATGAAATCATGAATTTGTTACCTGTGTAAATAAATCAGTTTATTACAATTTTTTTAATATTCTGAAATATTTTAATCTCTTCGATGTAGACTGTAAAACATGTATTACTTAAAGTATGATGTATTTAAAACATATTTTTAAGTTTTAGAGTTAATATATGTATATTCTTTTTATTTGTTACACATTCAATTTGTAGAAAATAAAAATATAACTCTGATGATTTTTTATTAAAAAAAACCTGTTACAAACTTAACCTTAAATTTACTTTCCTAAAAATTTAAGTATTTCAGTAGGTAAAGATTCTTTTGATACTAAATATTTGCTTAGTAGCAGTATTTCATTCGTCTTCTCTCTCAGTTTATTTTGTTTTCTTATTTCTAAGTCTTTCTTCTTCAAACAGTTTCTTTGTTTGGTTTTTTTCTTTGATCACTTTTAATCTTTCTTTGTGAATTTTTAGCAGTTTTGTATAAAATTCCTTTTTGTCTTTACACATCTTTTGGAGAATATTGTTTTTGCTAACTGGTTTCTCTCTCTTTCTTTTAAGTGATTTCGGTGTAGAACTAAGAACATTGACTTTAGCTGTTGCTACATCTTCAGGCTTTTTATCTATGTGATGTGCTACTGTTTCATTAGATAAAAGCAATTTAGGATTGACATTTCTTTTTTGCCATCTAGTTCATTACTATATTCGAATGTTTTGCGGCCTCTTCCTGTTTTTTTACTCTCAACTATATATTTCTTATAATTTCTTTCAATTACTCGCCATCTACTTTCGCAGTGACATGCATTCAAATTAAGATTATGTAAGTTATTTAGTTGTTCTGCTACCTTTGCCCACATAATTTTCATGGATTTCATTTGTAAACTCCCTACCCTATCTCTGTATTTTTAATAAAAATCTATTAATGACAGTGTCTGGTTGTGGGTCCAAGATATACTGACTGAAACACTTGTCGATGGGCTTTGGTTTACAATTATAAATTCTTGTAAATCTAAAACAAACGTAACCTTTAAATACCGTTTAGAAAAATGTGTTTCATTATTTTGTTAAACTTTCACTTTAGACGAAGTTATTGTTTTGAAAAAAAGTGAGTAGGTACTTAGTACTTACCTTCCATATTAGACATCTATTTGTTTGATTACAAAAATTATGAATCTCGATATTAATCAAAAATATTAGGTTAGGTTAGATTAATTTAATTTCGATAATCAGCAAATCGTTCGTGCAGCATAAATTTTGACAACGGTCAGAAAACAGTCTAATTTCACGTCTGCGCAGAGTGCATAGTTTACAAACGATAAGCTAACCACGGCAGAAACAAACCTAATATTTATGATGTTATCGAAACTTCCAGCAACATTGTAATGGAATTTTATACGAATATGTTGTAAAAGCTGATACATTCCTTGAATTTGTTTTTATATCTGACTCTCATACAGGGTGCTACTTATAAGATTTGTACCAAGCGTTATTCAACATAACTTTTCTAAGGGTGGAATTATTAATCAAAATTTCAAGTAAATTTAAATATTTTACAATTTTAAACTAGATGATTTCTACCATTTTCCGAATATTTTATGTTAAAAATTATGAAGTAATTACCGATTCGTTTATAAAGAAACAATAAAGTTATTAATTAAAAACAATCACAAAAAAGAAATTAAAATATACTTTTTTTCTGTTTGATCCCTGCTTGATTATCATGCGTTGGCTATCAAATTGGCTATACTAATTTTGTTGACGGCAGCTCGGAAAAGGGATGCATAGGATCTGTGTAAAATACACTAAGAACATGAAATAAAATTCCATTAGAGTAAGTCTTCAAAAAGTCTACCATTCTCACGAAAATAAAAGAATGTCTCTTTTCTAAAGAATCCATTAATCTTCTAAATAGTTGGGATCTGCTATGATGTCATTAAAGTGACGTTGAATTCTGTCTTTTAATTCTTAAATTCAATTTACCTCTGTAGCATAAACTTTTTCCTTAAGATACGTTCAAACTGTGTAGTTCAAATGATTAAAATCGCATGAGCGAGGAGACAAATGTATCGGAGCTTCTATACCTCCACCAATCCATCAATTCTGACAATGGTTATTTAATCAATGAAGATACCTTCTATCCAGCTCCATCGTGCTAAAAAAATAAAGATCTTCGAACGCTTAGCGTTTCTTTTTTTAATATCTCGAATAAACGATTGTTTATAAAAATAACGTTACTATGCTTTGGTTACCTAAGGTTGCTGTCCAAATATTAGCCTTAAATTAGTGTTAGTAATGCGATACACTTTTGACTCGTGGATTCTCGTCACGCTAGTAGTGTGCATTATAAGAGTTAAACATAACTTTTCACGTAAAGGTGACATCGTCTGTAAAAAGTATACATTTTAAAAAGATCGGTTTGAAGACTGTCCTTTCTTGCAATGTTTTACAAAAATCCACTTTAATCGGTAGATCGTCCGGATCAACTCTTGGACTTGTCTGTAGTTATAAGGATGTAGCTGCTCTTCTTTAAGTATCTGCCAAATATTTGTAAAGAACGTATTAGTTTTTCTTGTCGTATTCCTTACGCTACCTTTTGGACCTTGATTAGGTTAATTTAAAATAATATTTTCTTTATTAACTGTTTTTCTTAGTGTTTACTTAAATATCGTAGAATAAGGACGTATTCCGCCGAGTGCGGAAGCAAAAAATGACCACCGATGAGAAAAAGTTAACGTCTAGTTATTAAAATAAAATAAAAACAGTAAAGTGGCAGTTACATACCAAATTCTGTTTTCTACAATGAACAATTTACACACACGGAACACAAACAATCAGTGTCTATTGTAGAATCATCAGAAATTGCTGGTAAGTAGCAGGTTTACTATTAACAAACATTTAGGAACATGTACCTAACTCTCCAACAATATTCGCCACTAGAATACACATCCAAACATGCACCAAACCACATATACTGGCAACCCGCAAATACTCCTATATCAAACATTCCACAAAATCAATTCGCTCTTCCACCACAACCACAACAATTTCCCCCACAACCCCAACCAATTTACTACAACCCAAGAAACCCATCTACTGTAGGGCAAACCTCAAACACAAAGCTAAAACCTGCAATTACACATTCAAAATACTTGGATATAAAGTCTAGTAAAGAAATCCAAAATAAAAACTAATCACAAGTATTTAAAAAACATAAATTTTATAAAACAAAATAACGATCCCAATCCTCCAAGCTTACCACCAACAAAAATACAAAGTAGATTCAATGCATTATCAAACGCCGAGAGCTCTGAACAGAGTGAAAGAGAAAAACAACAGAAAATACCAAAACGATCTACACAAACTTTAAAAATGTGGTCAAAAACAGAACTCTGTCAAACCATAGCAGGAATTCCATGCCTTTTCCAAGAAATAATATTGACAAGCATTAAAAAATTGGTAACTAACAAGTAGACGTCACAATTAAAATAATATTAAAAACATAGGACATACCCACTAAGTCACTACATGTAAAATGTATGTACACCATTTGCTGATTGCCTTTCTCAAGTGATTTATTTTTGGCATGCGTTTACACTTTATAGTCTCTAATGAAATAGCTTGAGGAGGGGAGAAATGTTTGTCTCGAGTTGGTCATTCAGAATTATATCTGTGTTTTTTAAATTGTTGATTTCCATAGATTCTAACAAGGATAGCTTAAGGCCTTTATTTTGAATGTGAAGAAATTTAAATTCGTCGTTAACAGAATGATTGTAATCTAGAAGGTGAAGTGCGTATGTATAATCTGTTTTTTCTAATATTGAAAGCATTTTATGTTTTGCTATTCGTTTGTTAAAGTTTCTACCAATTTGGCCGATGTAAGTTTTTGGGAAATCGCCACATTTAAGTTTGTACACACCACTGTGTAAGTGTTTTTTATTTTGGCACTTGTTGTTTTTGATATATTTGCCTAGATTGTTATTTGTTCAGAAATCTGGTGTTATTCCTTTCTTTTTTATGTGTTTGGCTATTTTTGTTGTAATTTTGCCTGTATATGTAATCGAACAGAAGGTACTGGGTTTTTTCTCTGGTGGTGGAAATACTAATTTCAGGGCTTTCTTGTGCAGTTTTTGATTTAACATTTTACTAATTATTTGTTCATTGTATCCGTTGTTTGCTGCTATTTGTTTAATTATATTTAATTCTGTCTCAAAGTTGTATTTTGACATCGGAATTTCTGTTAATCTATGTAACATACTATGGTATGCTGCCAGTTTATGTTGTGTTTAATGGGATGATGAATTGGGTATAGTCGTGTCAGTATGGGTAAGTTTGCGAAATACGAGCAGTCATGTTTGTTGTTAAATCTGATAATTTTTAAATCCAAAAAATTTATAGATTGGTTTTGTTCTGTTTCTATTGTTAATTCAATATGACTATGAAGTGAATTAATATCCGATAAAAATTGTGCCAGTTGCCTGTTAGTTCCTGTAAAACATACTAGTACGTCGTCTACGTATCTCCAGCAATATAAAAACTGTTTAAATACGGGATGTTTTGAAATCTTTGTCTCTAGATGATCCATAAAAATATCTGATAGCAATGGGCTTAGAGGATTGCAAATTATAAGTCCTGCACTGTTATTTGTATATATTTGATTATTAAGGTACTAGGAAAAAGATTTTTTACGTCAAATGAAATTAATCTGAAGTTGTTAGGTAATTGAAGATGTTGTATTTTATTAACTAGTTCTATTGTATTTTTTATAATAAATTTAGGTGAAAATTTAGTGTATTCTAAAATAATTTCTAACAGTTTTTTTAAGTTTATATCACGGAGCAGTATAAAAAGAAACTACAGGTCTTATTGGGTGATTCGGTTTGTGTAGTTTAATGAAAGAGTTTCTTTTTATATTGCTCCGTCATATAAACCTTCAAAAAAAAACTGTTAGAGATTATTTTAGAACACACTAAATTTTCACCTAAATTTACCATACAAAATTCAATACAACTAATTAATAGTAAGTATTAGGTAATTTTCAATTACCTC